CAGATACCCAACTCTGCGACGACTGTGGCCGGATTCATGTTGATATTTATGTTATAGCCGTTATGTTCACAAATCAACATTCACACTGCAGTAATCAAGATAGTAGCGTCATATTGGGGACGCCCACTTTCGTTACCTGCGTACTCCAAGAATGCCTACGAATCCTATCGCAGATAGCGCCCTCAACAACTTACTAAATATTATTATACAGCGCCACCAAGTTTGATTATGAAAATGCTCACCATAGTACACATACTAAATTGGCGCGTTTCAGTGAATGCTGTCATTTTTTCATCAATACACCAATATTTTTGTCATTATAATTTGTCTGAACGGAATAAAACAATGGTATACAGAGGTTACATCATCAAATAATTTTGATAAACACTAATTGAGAAATTGAAATATCTACTTAGCTTTAAAAAATTTCCAATTTAGGCAATTTTCAGTCATTTATAAACGAAACTACTTTTTTTATTATCAAGTTATGAGAAATAAACCATAAGGTCAACATCTATTTTTTTATTCATATTGATGAAATTAATCATCGGTTACAAATTGAAATCCAGTGGCCAATGTACATGATAGCACCTGATATGCGTACATCGTTGTCATAGATACACGGTATAGAAAGTGATTGAGCAATTGCTTTATTCAATAATCAAACAACCATAAATTTAAAATAACTGCATTTAAAAATTAATTACAGGTAGGCAAAAAGAAAATGCAGACTGAAAAAAAAAAATTGTAGAAAACTTAATTAATTGCTTGGTTTTATTTTTCCTTATGCACCAAATTAAACCCAGTTAATACTAAAATAGAATAGAAAATGAAACATGTTAGTTACCCTGTAAATCCAGCTGTTACCCTGTAATTTTAAAATAAAAAATATTCTCATAATAAGACTGCTGACACTTCAGCTCAATTAAAATTCTGTTAATTCATGCATTGAGTCAAATTAGCTAAAATAGCATGTAGCTATTTCAAAGTACTTAAAAATAGTTTCCTTCCCAAACCAGTTAATGTAAAATCCTAGTGAATATTAGTACATTGAATACTCATTCAATATTTTCGTTTTGTACAGCATGCAAACATAGTAGATTTAACACCACTATCCCAGAGTAAAGACTTGGTCAGTTGGTGAAAATTAATCTGTTTTGTAATGACGGACTATCCCAATAACAGTGAGCAGACATGGAAATGTAAAAATACAGAGTGGTACATGCAAGGTTAGACCTCTACTGCATAATCAGCATTAAATCAAATTGTGGTGTGAAGCCTATAGTGCCATATTTTGACAAGTTGTTTATTTTGTTCATTACACAAAGTGTAATATGTTACATTGATACTGTGTGAATCAATAACATATAGTACCAATAACAAACAAAAATATGTCTGCTCTATTAATTCAATTAAAAAGATCCCAATACATTACAAGTTTCCCTTCATTATTTTGTATATTATGTAAAAATTATTATTAGGTAAAGAATAATAATTTTGTAATGTTCTGGAGTATGTTTATTTGAGTTAGCGATATTCAAAATCAGGTGCAATATCAGCCAGATCTATCCATGGTGACCAGGTATCATTATGTAGACTTGGATTACTGCGTGGATCTGGTGGTATAACCCATGGGGTCACAGAGGTAGAATTGTAATCATTTAGTTTATAGAGAAGACTTTGCAGAACATCTAGAAAAAAAAGACAAATTTGTTATAGTCTGCATACATTAATATTTTGTGTTAATAAACAATGGGTATCAACAACATTTATGCCAAATTTCAAAGCAATCTTACAAGCGATTGTGGAAAAAATAATTTTTAACCATAAATGACAAAAATATTCCCACAAAATAGAGGTTTACATGTGATGTCATGAAATGAACAAATCTGACAGAGGACCATCCCAGGTATAAATAGTTTGAATAGCAAGGCAATCCAATTGACGGTTTTGGAGAAGAAGTCATTTGAATGAAAAAGGTACAACATACAGACGATGACAGGTGTGGTCAACCCATGAGCTCCGCTCGGTCATCTTCGATGACAACGGAGCTAAAAAGGTACAATTAACTGAGACTATAAAGGTGTTTTCACTACTGCCAGATGTGAAAAATGATCAATGTCTGGTAAAAGCAAAAATTTTAAAAGTTAAAAGTTATAAAAATCATTTCCTTGTAAAAGTCAACAAAATACACACATCAAAATATTTGATCAAAAAATTAAGCTGAACTATTGTTTCATGATTATTTCAATCATTTCTACAAATGGTAGCTTCTATTAATTCATTGCTTACCCGGATATTCATCAGCAAGGTTGTAATATTCACATGGATCATTCTTGATGTTATAGAGACATGGTTTCTGCTTTGGATCACAGTTTTTATAAGCGACAGGGGGTACAGATGAACAGTGAACAATAATTCCACGATGATCAGAGCCAAATTGTTTTGTCAGGTTTGTTCCATTCTTACCTATAATATATTAAAATACAAAAATATGATACACACTAAACATATTTGAAGAGCGATTAAAGCATTTTCAAAAATATTTATTTATTTAATATCATGTCACGCATAATGCAAATTCAACATACCAAATGTAATTTGAGGGGGGACAAACCAATCACTCTTATTTTCCCCAACAATCACTTTTAAATTGCCAACACGGAGGGCAGCAGTCTGGGTAATCGGGTCTATGTTGTGTAGTATTTCAGTCCTTGGAGATGATACACCACTGAAAAATATAATTATTATCATAAATTAAATATATTCTGTGAATTTAAAACTTTTAAGCTTTATTATCAAACATACTACCATAATTTGATGTACAATTCATTGTTTATTGTTAATTAAGCATGAAATCATTATCTATATATATATTGATAATTAAGCATGAAATCATTATCTATATATATATTGGTTATTGCTTAAGTATATAAAAACAAAAGAACCTTGATAAAGTGTCCCACATATTGAATCCATCCAAGTTATGCAAATCAGACAGATTGCCCCCAGCAACGTGATACATTGTTGGCAACCAGTCAACCACATGCATCATTCCCTCACAGACTCGCTTAGGTTTTTCCAGGAGAACGCTATGAATGAAGGCGGCTCCACGGATACCGCCTTCCCAGAGAGTGTTTTTTGTGCCCCGTAAAGGGGTATTGAATGCCTCACACTCATGAGGACCACCATTGTCAGTACTGAAGACAATGATAGAATTGTTGTAGAGTCCAGACTTTTTTAACGCTCTTGTGATGTTACCGACGGAATCATCCAATGCAGAAACCATTCCTGAAATCATTATTAAATGTGAAATATTCAAGTAAATAAACTTAATATACCTTGTTATCCTATGCGCTGTATTGCAATTGTATTAATTATTCAGTTTTAATTTTGATATTTTTGTTGAGTAAATTACTGTAAAATATTTTTTTTAGCTGAAATTAATTTTCACTGAAATACCATTTTGGCTGTTTTATATGGAGGTTATTTTCGTTTATTTTGAGTCGTATGTAAAATACAGAAAAAAAGGGATTTTCACTGATTCACTCCTTTAACAAAAATAGCAAAAATAAATTAATTAAATAAATAAATAAATAAATAAATAAATAAATAAATAAATAAATAAATAAATAAATAAATAAATAAATAAATAAATAAATAAATAAATAAATAAATAAATAAATAAATAAATAAATAAATAAATAAATAAATAAGTGAAAATAAAGTAGTTTACAGTAAATTAAATACAGCTAAACATGTAAAATAACAATAGAACTCATTGTTTTTCATTCCATGTTTGTGAACCTAAAACTCAGTGAAATTGCTCTAAGTATTAAAATAGAGAATTTAAATGCCAGTGAAAATAAATGCTTTTACAGTATTACCCACTTAAATGACCGGGCTATGTCTATTGTCAAAATAATATATAATGACATACTGTTATGACATACGGATGACATTGCCCTCCTGTCCCATAACCACAAGCAGATGCAAGATAAAACCACCAACTTAGCAACAAATTCTGACAAATTTGGTCTAATCATCCACCAAGATAAGACAAAGGTCTCGATCAGACTAAGTGATACACCCCTTGACGAGGTGGAGTCCATCACTTACCTTGGAAGTGTTGTGGATAAACAGGGTGGGATGGATGCTGATGTCAAAACCTGGATTGGCAAAACAAGAGCTGCATTCCTCCAACTGAGGAACATTTGGAACTTCAGAACAATAGGAAGACACACCAAGCTTCGTTTGTTTAATACATATATTAAGTCTGTCCTGTTATATGGAGCAGAAACCTGGCGTACCACAAAAGCAACAACCCACAAAGTACAGACCTTTGTAAACAGATGCCTGCGGACAATCCTAAAAATTCATTGGCTGGATAAGAGATCAGGAACTTTGAGCTCTGGAAGCAAACCAGGCAGCTTCCTATGGGGGAAGAGATCTTGCAGAGGAGATGGGGTTGGATTGGCCAAACTTTGCGTAAGTAACCATCCAACCTCACCAGACAAGCCTTGACATGGAATCCACAGGGAAAGCGGAAACGAGGAAGGCTAAAAACACCTGGTGGAGGGACCTTAACGATGATGTTAGGCGCTCAAGATCCACCTGGGGACAGCTTGAGACTGCAGCACAGGACCGCACACACTGGAGAACTGTCATCGATGACCTATGTTCCAGGAGGGGTGACAGGCCAAAGTGAAAGTGATACTGTTATAACCCAGCATACTAATAAATGCTATTTTTGATATATGTGTACTTCTATTAGATTAAACACATAGTCTCATTTAAAGCAACATAAACATGGCAGCAAATCATGCTTGTAAAGAGAGCTGTGAATACAATGAATGTAAAATGCATTGTTTGTTTACATTCAATTTGAACACTTAAATACAAAAAAATTACTAATAAGAGAAGAAAAAATACAAATAATATAATGGATATAACCTCTGATGAATCAGATACCAAAATTCAAATGCCATTTATACTCAGAAAAAAAAATTAGAAAGTTTGTGGTCAATTTAATTTTGTGATTTTTCATGAAAATTGGATTTTTCTATTTTCTTTATTCATAAATTTGGACATAAACCTAACAACAAAAATCTGAAACTCCACAAATTATGTTTATTTATAATTTGCAAAATAATTATTATATTTAAGGGACATCCTTAACCCATTCAACAAAACTAGGATAAGCCATTACCTGCATAAATGCGTCTCTGGTGATCAGCAATGTGTGGAAAACGACTTGTATACTTATATGGCGCTTCAAGCAAAGTACCATTAGGTCCTGAATTCCCATAATGCACTGCTTGATGTGCAAAATATAAAAATAAAGGCTGCATAAGAAAAACGATAACCTGATTATTAGTGGTGTATCAATATAACAGTACAGCTCTCCTTATGTAAGCTGGGAACCTGTTAAAACCAAACACATTGTCTAGCTTACAATCTATTCAGTGTAGACAGTGTAAACAATAAATAAAACAATAAATTAAATAAAACAATAAATAAAACAATAAATAAATAAATAAATAAACCAAAGAACAAACGAACAAACAAATAAATAAATTAATTAATTAATTAGTTAATAAATAAATAAATAAATAAATAAATAAATAAATAAATAAATAAATAAATAAATAAATAAATAAATAAATAAATAAATAAATAAATAAATAAATACAACTCTTAAGAGCAAGGGTACCATAGCAGTCTTTAATGTCAATAAGTGTTCTAAAAGTTCCATGTTTAATATGGGTATCAAAGGACAATCAACTTGGAATAAGCAACAAATTGACTACTTGAATAGGTTATTTTCCGTTCAACTGCAAGATCTTGTAAGTTGCGTGAAACAGAACGTCTGCTGCAAAACTCAATTGATTTGATTTTGAACTTGAATTTCTTTATTTTGTAGCTCACATCGAAAGGCCAATCTTTGACAAGGAAATATTGCGTTTTAATACCCTTACTTCATCGAAATTGACCATCATCAAATGTGTACAGCACAGTTTATAAACTTGTATATCATCTATATAGGTATAAAAACATTTTGAGCAAAAGAGAAGGTAAAAGCCTGATTCAATTTAGCTATAAAATATGCATATATGGATATAACAGTATACCAGGTAGTTATTTTAATTATTAAATATATGTTCTGTGATGATAAAGAAGAATGTACTTCCATCAAGCTATTCTAGTGAGAGTACCGGTATATAGATGACAAAATAGATGTATTTTCATCAAAGTTAAGTCACCTCAAATGATGACTAAATAAGACCATATTTATGATATTTGAAGTTGAGGGAAACCAACTCATGATTCCTGTCATAAGACAGGTGAGGGTCACCTCACTGATGATAAAATGACCTAATAATATATACAGTTTGATGTAAGAATACATGTATATCAAATTACCTTTTTGTGATCATGATCATATATCAATTTTTCAGCTTGTGTTGTAAATAACTCAGGTCCATATTCCCCAAAAGTTGACCTCTGTAGATCCATATTGTGACGCAAATCAAAACCCCATTGATTATTCTACGACAAAAGGATGAATAATTATTATTTCTGACTCTACGTCCTATCAAAAAATCTAATGACTTAAAACAACCACATATTCCAAACAATTGCTATATGGAATTAAGTAAAATATATATCCACCAGGTCATAAAACTATTAAAAATAACTACTGCAAGATTTGTTTTTGGTTTAATCCAGGTGAACATGTGAGAAAACAGTATAACTCATTGTTTCCATGGCAAATTTCTAGACTCAAAACCCAGTCAAAATA